GTGGTGGGCAGAGCACATATAGCCCTTTATGTAGCTTTGTGCTTAATAACAAACAACAATGTTAATTAACAAGGTATTCTTTTTCGTCATTATTTCTTGACAGATGACTTACAATCTATCTGGAAAGAGAGAAAATTCTATCGTTTATTGAGAATTATAGTTAACTTAATTGCAACAAATTGCTTAGATGAAAATTCCGAAGTCAAACAAACTCACTGAAATTCGATTTTTATTCAATATTGGAACAAATAATCCACCTTAAAGCACTATTAACGCCAACTAGGTTTCGATTTAGGCTACAAAGTTCAAGCTATTTGAAATCTGATACAGAAGTTAAACGATTTAGCTCTTTTGAACACTATATTCTCAGACTACACTGTATGCCACTTACTAAATTTTACAAGGACTAACTTTCTAACAATTCTAGAGCTGGCACCTTAATCATTATTTGTCTAATTCAAATTAGTAAAAAAATAATCTAAACCATTATTTCACGAAAGTCTGTATGGGTGTGTTTGGGCTCTTATAACTGATTAACAGCTGGACCGATTTTCAATAAACCTGGCACGTATCCTTAAGACTTCCCACAGAATGACATATGTCACCCCCCCCCCCCCGTGAACCCTGTATCTTTTTCGTACGTTGAATTAGTACGTCAATTAGTTTTAAATATAACTGACCAACATATATGCATCTATAAAAAAAAACTAAAATTATGGTATAATTACGGAACCCTCACCCCGTTACCTAAATTTTGATAAGCATTGTATTTTTTATTTCCCAACTTTCCTGCAACAAAGTTTATCGGGGGTGTCTCTCATGACGTATTTTTATGGTTGGATATCCCATACTCACCGAGAGGTACCCAATTCCAGACACTTCATCTTTAGGCTTTTAACCACTGTAAGTATGTTTTGTACACAAAGCATTTGTATTCAAAGCTGAAAGTTTTTGTGGTTGATTTTTCAGGATCTTCTCGTGGATGACCACTTATCGTAACACTAAGAACACTCTTTTCTTCGACTTTGGATGCTTTGCTTGTACAATTTTCGTCTGATTTAGTCAGATTCTATTTCCTGTAATAACATATTCTTTAACCATAATATCTCTCTATTTGTTCCATTAAAGAACTTTCTGCTTGGTTTGTATGCTGAATGAAATAAGTCGCTTCACATTGTTGATCCCCCCTTGTCACTTCGGTTCATTTCAAAGTATACACATCTTTAAAGATATTATTTTCTTCATCTTCAGTTTTAATAATCATATCATCATATTAATTTTATATTCTTCACTTTTTGCTTTAATGTTATCTGTAATTTGTTTACGTTTTCCGGATTTTATGAATATCAACGTTTCATCTGCATATCGTTGATTATTTACATTCATTCCTCCTGTGGTTAATCCTTCCATTCCTTCTATATCTCTGATATTCACTTCTGAATATATGTTAAAGAGATGAGGAAAGATCACACATCCCTATATCACACTCTTCACATTTCAATACATAACGATAACTCATTCACGGATCTTATTGCTGACATATGGTCTCATTACAGGTTGGTAATGAATTTGATATTCTCGCCATACAAACCGATGGCTTCAAGACATCTTATCAGCTTTAATTGGTAGACTTTGAATGTCTTGGCGGAATTTATAAAACAGGCATAAATCTTTCATAACTACCATCAGGCGTGGACTGGCCTAACGAGACACCGGGAAAAATCTTGGTGGGCCCCCTTGGAAAAGTACGTAGTTTTGTTATTTTTATGACAAACTTATGAGCCCCTGCCTGCCATACAACTCTTGATAATTAGAGAGTACATGCAGATAACAACACAAATACTTGAAAGTTTGGCGGACGAGAGTTTAT